TAGAGTGTAAGCTAAAAATCAAACCCTAAGCCCCACAACTGAATAAATGGACCCCCTCTTGGCCAAGGGGACCTTAGAGAAACTTAAAAACCGGGTTTTCCACCATAAAGGGATAGGGGGTCAGACATGTCTCTTTATACACCCTCTCTTTTGCAGCTTAGAAACAACCACTGACCAGCATTAATGTTAAAATAAAGACCATAAGACTGACAAAGGAGACTTTTTGTGGCCATCAGGTACCAATAACAAACAGGACCTAGGGCCATGCCAGACAAGGGCTAAGTTATGAACCCCCTGCACACGTGTCACACACACACACACACACACACACACACACTCACACACTTAAAGAATAAGCTACCTTCTAACTACCAAGAGGCTTCTCACTCAGCAACTTCTAGTAGTATCCCACTGTCCCCATGCTTCCATGCTTTTGCCTGCAATACCCGAAGCTGTTTCATCCCACTACTCAACCTTGGGAGCAAATCCTACTCATATTTCAAGATTCAGCTCAGGGGTCCCTTCTCCAGAAAATCTCCTCTGTTTTTCCCACTTCCTCTCCTCCTATTTCCAGGGCTTGGGTAGATTCAATTAGCCATTTATTCAATCAACAAATCTTTACTGACTGCTTACTGTTTGCTCAGCACTGGCATATATTAGGCACTCTATTATGTGTTGAATAAATAAATGCAGACATAGCAATTAGTTAAAAGAAAGACAAAGTCCTGGCTTTCACAAAAGTGAGAATTCTCACAAGACTATAAGTAACATGGCTCTATAAAAGACTTCGCATTTTTAAACATTATTTTAAATGTATCTTTCTTCCACATTTTATTCCTCAAGGACAGGATTTTGTCTTTCATTTACAGATCATTAGTACCTAACAAAGTATTTTTCATACAGTAAGCATTCAATAAAACATTTGTCCAAAGAGTAATGAAACTATCTCACATGTACCTTTATAAACTCCAGAATATTGAAGTAAATATTGCTGTAAGTAAACTGAGACTTATTTTAACATTTAGATTTAAAAAGAAAATACTACATAGTTCTGTGATAACAAGAAATACGTGGCTCATGTCTATGATCCCAACACTCTGGGAGACCAAGGCAGAAGGATCACTTGAGCCAGGAGTTCAAGATCCATAGCAAGACTTTGTCTCTACTTAAATTTTTTTAGATAATAAAAAAATTAAAAATTAAAAAAAATCTAACATTAAACCAGCATAATGTAACCAGACATGAAAAAAGACTGAGTCAACATTTTAAATGGCATTTTAAAAAGAAAATATAATTGCAAAGTCAGAAAAACCAACCTACTATTCTTCAATTTCAAAAAGAGATCTAATGACAGCAAATATGAGATTACACATACAAGATCTTTAAAACACACGTATAATCAAGTTGCATTAACTTTACAAATTCCTTGGTCCTGTCCTTTTAATCAGTCTTCATTCTCTACAGAGAAGCTTTACTGTTCCTAAGAAGCATATTTTGAATATGAGCTGCTTTTAGCATTTTCATGCAGGTAAAATCATTATCAGTAGACTGCCTCTTCCAAAGCCTCTGGATAAAGTCAACTGATTAAAATGCTGGCACCGCTCAGTGCTGAGTAGAGGAAGGGGCTGGTACTCTTCCAGAATCTAGAGTGGGATTAACAGCTTCCCCAGCTAAAGCAATTCTTCCAAAGGGGAAAGTTTTGATCTGATCCTATTTTAAAACTTCAACAACAGGGCCATCGTGACTTTGGCCTTCAAAGAGCTTCAATAAAGCTAGCTGCTAAAACAACTGTGGGAAGAAAAAGCCGGGACTCACATCTAAGGAGACAGAAACCTAAATGTCAGCTGTTAGTGAGCCAGAAAGATGCGGGGGGTGTGAGGTAAGGGGTGGGAATCGTTCTATTTCACAGTCCCAACATCACATCAGCTCCCCTGCCTTCATCCCCGTTCTCCTGAAAGACAACTTTTTAATTACTTCTTATGTGTGAAACCCAATCTTTACTTTCCTGCAGGCTGCAACATTTGAGTTCTAAATAAAGAGGAACCAAGCAATGGCTGGCCATCACTCAAACAGTCTCACATCTTATAATTAAGAATGGCAGCAATACAGGCCCTCCACACACAGGGGCGCAATGCTAACCTCCTTGGGGTGACTTCCACATCAACTATGGGTACTGAAGATGCCACCTCTCCAGCTGGGGACCGAGGAACTAACATATAACAGCAGGCTTGTGAATGCTGTCCAGACCACACAGTACTGGTTTGGAGGGTGGTGGGATGCATAATCTAAAACCCTAAAGCATGTATAAAATACAAACATACGGGGAAGGCAGGAAGAACTTTATACCTCTAAACATTAATGACAGATGACAGAATTAGAGTAATACTGATTTTCTTTGCAATTTTTATATTTTCCAAATGTTCTATATTTTTGTATTAATTTAAGAATTAGTAGAAAACTCAGTGAAATACAACCATTAAAATGCGACCACACAAAAACATATTTATTGATATAAAAACTTTTACCACACGGCCTAAATGTTTTAATGTGAAGGTTATTGTAAGAGTTATATAAAACTGTATATACTACTATCTATGTTCGGAGAAACATAGTTATACATATAAAATGAAATGTTTTATACCAACTTCATGGGAAGGAAATAGGAATAGAAAAACAATGAACCAAAATGTTAACAGTAATTATCTCTGAATTGTGGTGCACTGAGGGGTTTTAGTATCTCTCTGTATTTATTTTCTAATCTTTACCCCATAAATATGTATGTCTTCCATAATAACAAATAACAACAACAATAAAGAGAGAAATCTGGCAAACAAATTGGGAATTACCCAGTAACTAAATGCCACAGGCAGCCATGTTGCTGTGGCCATGGCAGACCAAGCAAATGTCTGGGCAGGAAGGGACTCTTTGAATCAGCTGTCATCCTATGGCATAAATTTTACATTTATTCCCTAAGTGCTCTGAGGCTCTGTTTGGCCAATATTACAACAGATGCTGAAATACAGGAATTGTGAGTAAATAAAGACAGACAATAGACAAGATTCATTAGGTAAAAACGAGAGATCGGACTGCAGATATGCTCTTCCAATCAAAATATGTTGCTTAATATCTTATGTTGAATAACAAATCTTTTGATACTTTCGCATTTTTTTGTGAAAACTTGTTTTATGTCTAAGCCGAGTGTGTGTATACATTTGATGAGTTTTTTGAGTTTTTGAATCTTGCTTGTCTGCATGAACCAAGAGAACAAGACAGTATGTCCAAATTCAGGCAAAAAGAGGTAGAGAAAGGGTGTTTCAAAGATAAGATTCAAAAGGGTAAAAGCTGGGAGGCAAAGGGAAATACCAACCAATGTATTCTTCTGCCCGCTGGAAACTAAGAATTGTGCTGCACCTGTCTCAAACATGAGTGCTATTAACCCCCTCCACTACACTCCTATTCCAAATTCCAAATTTGATGTCTTTACTATGCATGGAAATGACCTTTCAACCACCCACTGACCTGACATTTTTTCAAATTCCTCAAAAAGCCTTCAGCTTAGAGGTACGACAGATGTAATTTTCAGTTGAATTACTCAAAACTTACTGTCTTTAATTCTGAAATTATTCCCCTTTCCCAATGACTGACTTTGCTTCCACCTCTCTTATTCCTTTAGTTCCATTGAATGCATGTACTGTTCTCAGGGCAGCTGCCAGTCAGTCCACTGACATTTCTTTCTTAGTCTACCACCTCTATTCTGGCTTCACTATTTGCCCATGCAGCCTGGACCCCAGATGTGTCACTGAAGAAACTGATTCATTATACATGGACTTCCTTTCATGTTCTTTATTTGCAGCTAGTCATGGGTTAACCTTTCAAAGAAATGACCAAGGTAAAGAATGGGAGAGACTAGAAATTGGCCCTTTTCTTATTAAGTTTTCATGTTTCCCAGTTGCCTATGCGACTAGGAAAATCCCCCTCACTCTTGCATTCAAAGTTCTCTACTCCATAGTCCCATTTTCCCTGTCCAGTAAGTTCCCAACTGTGCTCCAATGAAGATGAAAAGTTCCAAGAAGTTACATCTGGGTTTCTAGGAAGGCTGAAGTAGGAGCTAAGCAGTCAACACTCCAGGTTTTAACCAGAGCAGCTCCACTTTTATCTATTAAATAACAATAAGAAATTGCTTAGTAAATTATCTTGAATACAAAAGACAGAATAGTATCAGCCATTAAAAGCTACATTTCAGAAAAATGTTCAGTGACACAGGAAAATGTTCATGAGGCTTAACACCATATATAGCATTCTCTAAACTTTTCAATATGTAAAAAGCCCAGGAAAAAAATAATCTGGAGGAAAACACACACCAGCGTAAATCATGGTTATATCAGAAAGACAGACAGATTGATGGGTGCCGTTTAAACTTTCTTCTATCTGTTAATAATCCTTTCAAAGACAACAACAACAACAAAAACATGTCTATGTAATCTTTAAAAAGATTAAAAAAATATTTTTCTTTAAAAAAATTCTGTTAGAAAAGACTGTTCCCCAAGGCTCTGGCTCTACATTTCCTCTTCCCTAAACCCCAGAGAGTGGCTGATCAAACCTTACTCACCTATGCCAGAGTTTTCCAGACTAACATCTGGTAGCTGCCAGCAACGAGAGAAAGAAGCCTAGATTGCTGACCCCTGAGGTTTGAAAGGCAATAAAACTAAAGACAAAGGGGAAAAAAAGCAAACAGACCACAATCCTTCAGGCATGAAACATGTGTGTATGTCTGTGTGTTGGTCTTTACTTCAACACTTCCGGAGTTACCTGCCTTTAATGTCCTTGATGGTTAAACCTAAACTGCATGCTACTTGTAAAAGGCAAAAATCAAAATCTGAGCAAAGAGAACATGAATCATATGATCAACACTAAAAGCTGGCACACAGCACTTCGCATTTCCCAAGCATCAGAGATTTCCTTGTAGGCAAGAAAATTTCTCCTACATTTTTAATACTCACCAGGTGCTTTGCCTTAGCGCGTTCCTCCTCACTTGATATCCTCTCCCGAAGGATGGCTCTGGTTAACTGCTCATTGGCAGCAGCCCTCTCTTGGTCTAGCTCTCTGGCTTGCTTTAGTCTGAAGTGACAAGAATTGTCTAAGTTAGAAAAAGTATTTTATTAGTTGACATTATTTTCTATCAAATGAAATAATTAAAAAATAGAAACATATAGCCAAAAGGGTCAACAGCTGAAATCATCTTGGCCCATAATCTATCAAAAAAGCAGGTAAAGAAGTAAATCCCCATGCAGCCTCCACCCAAGCATTTAAAATAACTAAATTCAAATACATGAAGAAGCTTATTAATTTGGCAAACATAACTAAGTTTACAAAGGTCTTCTTATATAAAATTAAAATCTGCTCACCAAAAAAATAAAATCCATCCCGGGTGCTTCTGTTTGGCCTCCGGAAATTTAAGTAATTAACAAATCATTTAGGCCAGGAGCAGTAGCTCACGCCTGTAATCCCAACACTTTGGGAGGGCAAGGCGGGTGGATCCCTTGAGGTCAGGAGTTCGAGACCTGCCTGGCCAACATAGTGAAACCCCATCTCTACTAAAAATACAAAAAGTAGCTGGGCATGGTGGTGTATGCCTATAATCCCAGCAACTTTGGAGGCTGAGGCAGGAGGACTGCTTGATCCTGGGAGGTGGCGGTTGCAGTGATCTGAGATCACGCCACTGCACTCTAGCCTGGCAACAGAGCAAGACTCCATCTCAAAAAAACGACAAAAAAAAGCCATCTACATGACAAATATTTGAAGGTAACCATCACCTGTTCCTCCAGACGTATCTGTTTACTGAATGCACACCAGGCACTGTGCTAGGTATCGAGGACATGGTGATAAAACGGACAGGTCACTGTCCTTGCAGCTGTTACATCACAGCAGAGAAGGCAGCCATTAGGGAACAAATGAGGACAGCTTTCCTCCCAGTATGTTACCCCTATTTTCCAACAATCTTCATAGGCAAATATGGCCACATCTTTCAACTGCAGGGCTTCTCACTTCTGGGATGACTTCAAACTATCTGTTAGCTCCAAACTAAACCTAACACTCCAGACATGGTCTAGCAAAATAAGACAGGAGAACCTGGATCTGTACACAATACTAATTCTATTAATGAAGCATAAGATTGCATTAGATTTGTCAGTAGCCTCGCCACACAATTAGATCATATTCAGTTACAAACCACTAAAACCCCTCATTGTACATGATAAAGATAAATTATTTCGGCACTGATTTTTGCCATAGTGCCTGCCACGTAGAGGCATTCAGCAATCACCAAATCACTGAACATTTCAGTCTAATCTCATGGACAAAGATTTTCTGATTGCCTTTTCTTCTTTGAGAGAATAACCCCACTATGCCAGCATATTCCTGAAGGTATAAGCTATGCTTTAAAAAAGAAAGGTAAAATTGTCATGTTGGTGTAAGTGAAATTCTGAGTGAAATCTACTTTATACATGCAAATGATGAGCACCAAATTCTACTCAGTACTAGCCTATCAAATTTTAGCTTTAGAAAGCTTTCTGAAAAAAACCTAGAGATAAAAATTTTTGTTACTATTTTTAAATTGCTACATCATCCTGATACTCCGGAATTCTCAGAGATCAATTACAAAAAAAAAAAAAAAAAAAAAAAAAAAAAAAAAAAAAAAAAAAAAAAAAAAAAAAAAAAAAAGCACCTTGCAAGATATATTCCAAAGTTACAATGCTCTTCCCCTAAAAATCAAAACTTTGTAGCTTTGTGTCTTAAATAAAAAAAGAGGAATAGAAACAAATTAAAATCTGTACTTCCAAATTCTCTCATGCAAAAGTAACCTTTGGGAAACTTCCTAAGCAGTAAGCATAATGACACTCATACAAATCAAATTTCTCTAAATTATTTCACAAGGACCATACAATAAAATCAGCAATATCAATGATATCAATACATTAACTCCACTGGGTATGTGTAATTGTAAGAGAACAGCAATAATTAGAAGTCACACCACTTCCCTAGAACAGCAGTTCTAAAAGTACAGTCCACAAACCAGCTGCAGTAGCATCAGCTGGGAGCTTGTTAGAAATGCAGCTTCTCAGATACCACCCCGCACTTGCTGAATCAGAAACTCTAGGGATAGTGTCTAGCAAACTATCTTTTCATAAGCCCTCCAGAATTCTGATGCATGCTGAGGTTTGAGACCACAGCCCTTAATTACCGAAATGTACTTTTCCTCAAATAAATCCTGGAGATAAATGAAAGTAACGTCAAAAATGAAGTGGTCCACATGAGAATATTGTGCAAATAACTGCTGAGGTGATCATATCAGATTACAACACTGTGTATTTAAAGATTTTTATGGACATCTTACCTATAAGTAAAAAAGCATTACCTATTTTTACATGTGAGGTGGAAACAAAATCATTTGTGGATCAACTACTGTGGCCAAGCACTACGCTAGGTACTTTACATACATATATAAAATGTTCATTAAAATGCTATTAGTTCATGAACATAAAATGAATTCTGTACAGCTAGATTATCACATCTACCACATTTGGTGTATCTAATTTTAAAGTACTATTTATTTTAACAATTACTACAATTTTTTCCATTTTAGTTTACTTGGTATGACTTAGATCTTAATTACATATGGTGTGCTACATGCTTCAACTTTAAGAAAGACAGGATCATAAGGATTTTGGCAAGTTAGAAAAGCAAAACATGAGCCCAAAAGCCTTCAACGTGATAATAAAAATAAACACACTTAGCTTGTCATGACTGGTACAGATAAGCAAACTCTGGGTCCAAAACAAGGCTCTGTACTTACTATCTAAGTACTTTATTTAACCTCCGCGAGTCCTGTTATTCTCATGAGTAAAATGAATTAGTGTAATACTCCCTTACAGGATTCTATACAAACAAGGATTGTGGAGCAATGCCCATAACATAACATACACTCAACAATGTTAGGTAAGTAGCAGTAATAACAGTACCCACTATGAGGGTAGGAATACAAAGAAAGCAGTGATTTTCCAAAATGAAGGAGACCATCTCCAAATTCACTAACTACAACATCGTTTCCATCATCTTTTCCAATTCTTCACCAGTAAGTTCTGCTTTATTTTTATAATCTCTAAGGACTTCTAAGATCACAAATTGACTCTTCTAACTCCAGCAGCCCTTCCCTTTCACAAGCCGCTTCCTTTCCCTCTTGTCCATAGCTCCGTAAGGACAAGGATTTGGCCTCCTTTTGTTCACTGCTATATCCCCAGTACTTATAAGTGCCTGCCACATACTAAGCCCGCAAGAAAAACTTGTTGATGTATGCATGTATAAATGAATGAATGAATGAACGAATGAATAAATGGCATATTTCCAACCACAAACAAAAAAAAAGGAAAAAAAAACAAACAAACAAAAGGCTATAGTATATAAGAAACAACTAGAGAGACAAACTGTATCCTCCAACGGCCTAGCCACCATGTTAGATGTGACACATACGTGATATAATCCCAGGCTACACTAAATCACCTACAACAGGAGGTGCCACCACAGTCTAGAGTCCCCGCAACATCAACACCTAACTCTATTTGACACCTGGACTGAAAGAGGATTGGCACTGGCACAAACTGACTAAAAAGAATATTATTATCCTTTCTTAATAAATTCATATACCTTCATTCATCCTTACAAATACAACTGCACAAATTCTCAAATGTTTTTAAAGGAATGTCTACAAATTTTAAGAAAAACCTGTTTTTAAGGTTTGCACAGTGACTGTTTAAGAAACCACATTTTTTGTCATCAGGGAGTTTGTCAGGACTCTGAACAAATTCTTACTTGCTATCAACAACTTACCTGTACAACCTAACAAGCCTCCATATAAACATTTTTAAAACTCTATACCTTAAACATATTATTCCGCATTCCACAAAAATTCTTGAAAAAGTTAGTGGCAGGGGATAAATGAAAGAGAGGGGTATTATATTATCTCCCAGGCTGCTACTGTTATAATTTCTACTTGATGGGCACATGTACTTCTACTGTAATCCTGAGATCTCCTACTACAGTACTCAACAAAAACTGTACACTGGAATTCATAAACTTATTCAGTATATAATTATTAGGTGAGAGGGCTACTCTGGTTACTGAGAATAAAGTAGTGAGCAAGAGACACAGTCCCCACCTTCATGGGTCTTGGTTACAAATAACAGATGCGTTATTTTGAAAAAGTTAGGCGGGTATCTATGACACTGCATGGGTGGGACTGGTATTTAACTCAAGCTCTACAGGACATTAACTGAGCAACACGGGGAAGGAGAAAGTGTCTTAGGCAGAGGAAACACCAGTTGGGTCCAGAAGCACCAAGAAAGGATTTCCTTCAGTTAGATTCCTGTGACAGCCTTAGAAGGGTCTCTAAGGCTCGAAATCACCTCTGCAAAAATTTTACTTGCTTTCAAATTCTTTTGGATGACAGAGCTTCAATGGTATACTGACTGAGGTTCAGTTTTGTCCTGTGTCCAAAGATTAGAAGCTTCCAAGTTGTACCATTTCCCACTTATAGCAATAGATTTGAAACTTCAAAATTGTGCTGTTCCCCATTTCCCCAATCCTCCCCTCCAAAATATTACACGGCAATTATTTTCTTCTAAGTTTCCACTTTCACTGATTCCTATAAATCCTTTAATGAGCTACAATGACTTTGCAAAGAAAAACTGCTTATGTTATCAGAAGTCCCCAATTCTTTTCAAAGTTTCCTCTCTGGCCCCTAGGTTTTTTATCACATAGAGCTATGCTGTTCAACGGCCATCTGCAAAGAGTAGATGCCCATGTAGCTGTCAACCAATTTTTCTCTTTTTGAACCAAATGAGACAGCCCTGCCATCTGGGCCTCTCTGAATACTACTGCCCAGATAGTGAAGCTATAAAATCAGAAGCCATGTTGTTTGGGAAACACTTCACTAAGGAGAGAAGCCCAAGGCTCTCACTGATAAGGGAACGCTGGACTTTACATGTAAAGGCAGGACACAAAGTAAGTCTTTCATTATTAACTTGGGTTTCCAAAGATTTAAGAATTATCTCAAAACAAAACTA